AATTTAATGTGTATGAGTGTATTGCTTGCATGTAGGTAGGTGCACCCATGTCGTGCAATGCCCGTGCTGGTCAGAAGAGGGAGTTGGATCCCCTGGAACTGGAGTTAAGGACAGTTGTTAGCTGCCCTGTGCATGCTGGGAATTGAACCTGGGTCCTCTGCAAGAGCAGTCAGTGCTCTTAACTGCTGAGCCATTTCTCCAGCTTCATTTTTTTTTTAAGTTGAAGTTTGACTTCCATATGGTGCATAGATCTAGGGTTCATTCAGCCTATAATTTTTACAGAATATGCCCATATGGCCATACTCGGATCAAGGCAGACAACATTTCCAAGTTCTCAAAATGCTTCCTTATGCTCCTACTTACTATCCTCCTCCAAAGGGAACTACTCTTAGCACCTCTATCACCATAGCTTGCTTTTTACCTAATACCTCATAGAAGTGAAATCATGTAGTTTGTACTTTTTGTTACCGAATTCTTTGATTCATGCCGTTTCTATGAGGCTCATCCATGGTGTTCCTTGTAGAAATATTTTGCTCTGCTTTTTTTTCATTGTATAATTTTGCTCAGTGGCCATACTAAAACGTATTTTGCAAATTTAAATATAGTGTAAGGCTACTTGTAAAAAGTCTCCTTGTGGGGCTGGAGAGATGACCCAGTGGTTAAGAGCACTTACTGCTCTTGTAGAGGATCTGGAATTGTGTGTAACTCCAGTTCCAAGGGATGCCTTCTGGCCTCCTTGGGTATCAGGTATGTGTGTGGTCCACATGCATACATGCAGGCAAAACACTCATACACATAAAATAAAAATCTTTTTTTTTTTTTTTTTTTTTTTTTTAAAAAGCATTGTGAAAGAGTTACACAGAGAATTCTTTAAAAGTCTCAGGGAACTTTATATGATTAAATCTGATAGTCTTTTCTTTAGTTTTTATCTTCTTAAACTGTGTGAACTATTTGCCACTGTTGACCATGTGTTCCTTCTTGCCATTTGTCTCTGTCCCTCCCTCCTCCCTTTTTGTAATACCCGTTCTGATACTGCTTCTCTTCCTATTCTCTTGTGTTATTTTCTCATCCTGTTCCCTAAAATGTTCCTTGAATATATGACCTCAGTCCTTAGCTTGTTTCTTTATTGTACTCTATTCTGTAGCAAGCTCACACTACTCATGACAAGTGCTAGGATGTAGAACAAAGGTCTGTAGTCTTTCATTCATGATGTTGTGTTACAGAATCTCTTGGTAGGGTTTGAATCTTTAGGCCTAATCTCTTTCTTTAGTTCTGCATTGTCAACTTTGTGCTTAAGATTTCCACGTATGTGTGTTTGTTTATATGTTTGTGTTTATGTGGAGAAAGAGGACAACTTTGGGTATCATTATTCAGGCACAATCCACTTGTTTGTTTGCTTACTTGATTTTTGAGACAGTCTTACCATGCATCCCTGGCTGGCCTCACAGATTGATCTGCCTCTGCTGGGATTAAAGGTATATACCACCACAAT